GTCTTTTTAGGTTATGCATCTGCTTTCTTAATGTTCAGAGTCTGCAGCGTTAATCCTAAATCACAACAGTTTTTTAAGTCATTTTGTAGACATCTTAGACTAGTTGCTGTCTCCTCCCAGCAAATCTTGAAAACTTGTACTTGCACTAGCAAACCCTGTATTTACAGGCATGCGGTCACACAAAAAAATACTGTATTGATAAAAATTTCTGAAACTGCCTCTGAAACATCCATAGTGTAGTGTTCCCGGGTTTGGGGGTTGGTTCGTCCTTTCCCCATGTTAATTACGTGGTCCTGATGGAAAATGAGATGTGCTGATGTGGAAAAAAGGTTTTATTGACACTAATTTCGGATCACTTGCTAGTAGCAAAGCTACTTATGCAATAGGTTATCTTGTATTTGTGTTAATGCAGTTCCACTAGTTTCTTGGATTTACAGCAGCTCCTGTGCTTTGTGGTACATAAATAGTTGAAAGCTGCATAGCTCCTGAAGATTTTCAGGGAAAAGCCGCTCTCCAGTGAACTGTATGAAACTTTAACCCTTTACATCAGTGCAGCATTTCTTAAAAATGCAAAACTTTATAACAGTGTGTGACATGCACAGCTTTGCATTGTACAGATTTTACAATAACACCGCTTATAGGGTGGTGCATACATTAGTGTTGTACTTCATGTTAAATTTAAATATTGCCGAAAAGGAGCGTTTGCTGGCTTACGAATGTTACTAGCACAGTTGCCACTTGTCAGCAATGGGTTTAAAGTCCCGTCTTCCAAATTTCAAAAGAAGTTGAAGCTGTTGGCTTTTACAAGCTCTCAGTCCTGGCCTTCTTATTTACAATTCCACATACGGTGGAAGGAGCAGTATAATTTGGCCTTGACCAGCTGTCTTTGTTTCTAGCAGCTGGGGAAATACCATGGGTTAGAGCCATGCTGAACCATTATGATAATGTTACTAGTTTCAGTATGCGGGAGAGAAACTAAAAGATGTTGAGAGTAGGATTTGCAAATGTGAAGTTCAGTCAGAAAATTGCTATGTATTTTTAATAAACTGTCCGCAAGCCTGTATGTACGTCTGAGGATCCGATGCTGTGAGCACTTGTGAACTGCTCATTTATAGCATAGCTACACCCCAGTGATGTTCCTCAGCTTAAGATGTATATTCCAAGTATACATATTCCTTGAGTATACATATAAAGTGCCATCAGGAGTCAACAGAATGGTGAGCAGCCATAAAGTGTGTAGTTTCTTTTATGGTTATTTAATATACACTGCATAATATTGTGCAGATTGCTAAATGTGTGTGGAAATATTACAAGTGTAAAAGGAGACGTTTTGGAGAGCGCAAGAGCTCACTCAGCAACACTGAGTCCCCCCCTCCACTCCCTCAGTCATCACTCAAAAAATCCTGAGGAATTATTATTCAGTTCTGGTATTAAAACTCATCATATTGAAGGTACATGTGAAACTGGATTTTTATGAAGACGTTTCCTCTGCGCAGTTGTTATTTTAAAACATATCCCAAAGTGTAGCTTCAGAAAGCATGTCACTTTTTTTTTCGTACTGATGAAAGGAAAATTATGTTGATCCTGAGGGCTGATACTGCTTAACATCTTCATTAATAACCTGAGTCACAGGCTGCGATGCACCCTCCTTGCATTAATGGGTGACACTAAATTGGTGAGGGAGCAGAGGCACTCACTGTGCTGTTGGCCACGGCTGCCACTGGGGAGACCTTGACAAGCTGGAGGAACGGGGCGAAATTCAGGAAAGGCAAATGCAGAGTTTAGCCCCTGACTGCTGTCTTCAGCTACCTACCAGGGGCATTAGAAGGATGACGAAGCTGAGCTCTTCTCAGAGGTCAACTGCGAAAGGACAAGAGTCAACAGTAACAGGTTGTAACGGGAAATTCAACAGGGTGTAAGGGAAAATCATTCACAGTGAGGGTGGTGGAGCCCTGGAGCAGGGGCTCCGGCAATGGAGTTCCCATCCTTGGAGACTTCCAAAACTTTCCTCTACAAGGCTGTGAGCAGCAGATCTAATTTGAGAAGTTAGCCTTGCTTCGAGCAGGAGGTTGATCAGATGACCTCCATAGATCCTGTCCAGCCTATATTATTCTGTGGTGGTTCTGTGTTCATAAACACACTACCTGGCTTAGCTTCCCAATTCAGATGTTTAAGTTAAGAAAACAGGTCCCAAAAGACCACAGGGGGGAAAGTTGGGGTGCTATATTAGGTTTCTAGGAGCTTGTCTCTCTGCGTTGACTATCCAAAGAACCTAAGAGCCTGTCATGGACATGAAGTCCTACAGTATGAAGGTATTAATTGACGTGCTCATTAATTATATTTAGGCACTGTTTTACTTACTCTACAATTGCTGCATAAATCTTCTTTAATATGTGGCCAGCGTTAGGACTTTTTCATTAACTGGCTTTTTTCCCAGTTAAGGAGTATGTTAGGAGGAGAATTAAAATCTACCACTTACAGATGTCTCTCTAAATCTAATAGGATTTTTAGCTGAAGAGGCTACTGTTACAGCTGAATCCTGACAATGACATTTCGTATTAATCCCTTAAAATAAGTCTTAAAGTTTGGGGGTCTTTTTCACTGCAAACTAGTAAAAAGTAAAGCAAGAGATCTCCATTGCCCTGAAACGATTTTATTTTAGTGATGGGAATAAGTGGCAAATTTCTACAGGCCTCTTTAAATGAACTCATTGAGGCAGCATGTGCGGGCCCTTTTTGAGTTAGATTGTCCTTAAGCATTTCTTTAATTAAATCTTTGTATACATATAAGTAGGGCTTATCCTTGAAGGGAGATGCATTTATGCCCGGATTTGGTCTGGTTTTTTAGTACAGCTCCCTTCCACATAAGTAGGAGTTAGAAACCAAGGGTGGCTATGTAGTCATCTTCCAGGGATAGGATCAAGACCCTTCATTAACATTGGCTTATTTATTTTAAAGGTTCCATGTAGCTTGTGCCAAGAGATATATTTAGAATAGACCCCTCTTTTTACTTGGTAGGTTTTCTCCGATCACAATTGATGGTATGACGAGCCTTGTCGGAATGAATATCCCTGGTCACACTGGGACTGGATGGTGCATCTTCGTCTACAACTTGTCTCCCGACTCGGATGAGAGCGTGCTGTGGCAGTTGTTTGGTCCCTTTGGAGCAGTCAATAATGTCAAGGTGATCCGTGATTTCAACACCAACAAGTGCAAGGGATTTGGCTTTGTCACCATGACCAACTACGACGAAGCTGCCATGGCGATTGCCAGCCTTAATGGATACCGTTTAGGAGACAGAGTATTGCAAGTTTCCTTTAAAACCAATAAAACCCACAAATCCTGAATTTCATATCCTTACTTACTAAAATATATATATATAAAT